TTGGATAGGAGAGATGCAGCCATGATGGATGGATGGATGGAAGGAAGAAAGGAAGGAAGGAAAAGGAAGGAAGGAAGGAAGGAAGGAAGAAAGGGAGTCAACCATCCCACTCTCAGCTCATGATGCTTGGATAGGAGAGATGCAGCTATGATGGATGGATGGAAGGAAGAAAGGAAGGAAGGAAGGAAGGAAGGAAGGAAGGAAGGAAGGAAGGAAGGAAGGAAGGAAGGAAGGAAGGAAGGAAGGAAGATTAAAATGAGAGGGAGGGTCTGAAGGTAGTCCTTGGCCACCACAGCTGCCCCCAACACGAGAGCTGGCCATGCCCACTCCGGCCACCCCTGAGGTCAAACACAAACCTAATGTGGCCCTTAATGAAATCGAGTTTGGCACCCTGAGAGAGACGGCAGAGAAATCTGATAAATTAATAGAAATCAATACCATCCCAAACAGCAAATCAATTCACTACTCAACCCGGCCTTCCCAACTTCAAACATTCTCGTGTTCCTTGTCCGCCCAAACAACTCTTGCCAACTTTCCGTAACACAATTGTTCAGAGAACATCCCTCCAAGAACAGATGGAAAGATGGAGACCCCACCCTAACCAACACTTAAGGTCCAAATCCCATTTTCTGCAACTTGCTGGCTGCACCCACCCTTCAAGCAACAAGAAGGATGAGACCCCAAAACACCCCAATGGAAGAAAACACCCCCAATGGTCTCTTTTCACGCAACGTGTCATATGGTGAAGCCGGCTTGCTTGAAATTTCACAGCACTTGCCAGGAGGGCAAGCTACACCAACCTTCCCCTTATATTTTTAAACTCGATGCCCAATGATAGATCAATCACTTTTTTGTGTGTGTTTTAATCTCCAACACAGCAGAGACGGGAGCTGGCAAATCGTGAATCGCTGCTCCTTAAAACTGGCTTGACAGCAAGGAGGTTTTTTTTTTTTGAAATGGTAGAAGAAAAACACCAGTAAAATTGTTTCCGTACCTCCTTTATTTTACCTGCCTGGGGAAACACACCCACATCCACAGAGTATGATATCAAGTAGAGGATAAATGAATTTAATGAATATTTCAGCTTTAACCACGACAACACAAGAGGCATAAACTAAACGTAAACCACTCCAAACTCGATTGCAGGAAGTATGATTTCGGCAAGAGAATGGTCAACGTCTGGAACTCACAACCGGATTGTGTTGTCACCTGCTCAAACTCTCCTTTACCCTCAAACTAACCTCCTGTTGATCTCACGAGGTCTCTAAGGGGCGGGCATAAGCGCACCATCGTGCCTACCGTCCCTGTCCTATTGTCCCCAATTATTAGTTCCCACTTCTTGTATTTAAATTTGGGTTTATTGCTTATTTCTATGGCGTTGTAAGCTTTTGACAAAGTAAATAAATAAAATGAAATGAAATGCAATGAAAGTTGCTTTGAGAGCCGGCAAAAACCTCTGTTTTCCACGCGTCCATCCCTAACTTCTCCCAAGCCCCCTTCCTCTCCTAACCCTTAGTCTTTATTAAGAGATGTCAGTTCTCTTCCGGAGGGCCATTGTCATGATGGATGGGAGAGAAATAATTAGTGTCATTAAATAAATGTCCCGTTTATTGCCTCGGGGAGGAGAACAAGGATGGCCAGGAAGTCATGCCAGGTCTGGGGGGGGGGGGGGGGGGGGGGGGGGCGGTTTTAGCCTGCAAGACTTTGCCAATCTGGAGTGGCCAGAGGAGGCGAGTTTCCCCGTGTCGCGAAACTCCTGCGGAGAATAAAGAGAAGCCTCTGCTAAACCGAAGCTTCGCAAGGTCCGAGGGAAGCTTTCGCCAAACCCATTCGACTTTGCTCAGAATTTGGATCAATGATCCCCTTTCCCCGCCACCCTGCAAAGATCATCTAGAATGAAAATCACAGAAGCAGAATCTTCCCCCCCCCCTCAAAATATATATATATATATATTTTCTTTCAATGGTGTTGTCCAGTTTTACTTGTGGAAGAGCACCTCATTTCGTTGCACCCGCTTGCGAGTGTAATGACAAATAAATTCTTATATACTGTGCTTTGATTTTGGGAGGGAACTGGAATGCCCCGTGCTGAGCTTTGGGGAGTAATTAGGCTGTTTATCCTCCCAAGAATTGCAAACCACCTGTTGTCTTGGATAGGGGACCACCAGGAGATGCCAGACTTAAAAATATAAACCTTCCTCTAGAGGGGAAGGGGGGGTGGGGAAATGAGCTGCCTGTGAGTTCTTCCCAAGATAATCACGCTCTTAGAAGTCGCTCGGTACCCGAGTTCCTTCTCCACCTGCCTTTTTATTTATTTTTTCTGTTTTAATCGTCAGGGGGTCGAGACTTCCACACTTCCTCCTGGCACAGCCTCCCCCCCCCCCCCGGCCCCAAGACAGAGACGATTTGAGGAGGGGGTCTCGAGGAAACGATGCTGATTGCCTTTCATGGGGAGGAAGCCATGGGCAATCCCCTTGCCAGGAGCATCTGGAAGCAATTGTCAAGAGCGACAGAGATATCTCACGATCGAAGGAAAAACTGAATGGAGGCAAGCCACAGGCCCATTATCCGCGCTCCGGGTGGGTTTACTCGCATACGGCAGTGAATTCAAATGAAATATATAGTCTGCATTTGTGGGCTGCCTCGACAGCCACGAGCGGAATTATTTGGGGATTACGCATCTCCAGCAACCACACTTGGACTAGGGAGGTTTTTAAGGGGATAAATATTAGAAGAGATTGGTAATGAACTTAGCCAGAGAGAAAGAGAGAAGGTAGAGAAAGAGACAAAAGAGAAAGAGAGAGGGAGGGAGAGAAAGAGTGAGAAAGAGAGACAAAAGAGAGAGAGAAAGAGAGAGGGGGACTGAAGAGAGAGAGAAAAGAGAGAGAGAAAAGAGAGAGAGAGAAAGAACAAGAGGGAGAAAGGGAGAGACAAAAGAGAAAAGAGAGATAGACCAGGGAGAGAGGGAGGGAGGGAGGGAAGGAGGCAGGGAGAGAAAGAGAGAGACAAAAGAGAGAGAGGAGAGAGAGAGAGAGGAAAAAGCCCACAATCCAGTGTTATTATCACCGGCATGTAAAAAAGCTTCCATTGGAAAGTCGAAGCCGTCATACAGTTCGGTATCCAAATCACAGGCAGTCCTCGACTTCCGACCACAATTGGGGATATCTAAATATCCATGGCAAAGCAAGGCAGTTGTTTAAGTGAGCCGTGCCTGGTTTTTTTTTTTAAACTAACCTTTTTTTGTGTGCCATTGTCGTTAAATGAATCACGTGGCCGTTAAGCACATGACACACACACACCCCACTGAGTTTGCTCGATGGCTGGGAAAGTCACAAACGGTGACACCCACACCCACACACACACACACACCTCCAGGGTCATCGTAAATACATGCCAAGCTCCCCAGTTTTGATCCTTGGGAATGCTGCGTTGGTTGTAAGGAGCAGTTACTTTTTTCGGTGGCATCGCGACTTCATACAGTCACTAAACAGAACAGTTGTAAATTGAGAATTGCCTGTAAATCAGGCCAGTTGTCTCCAAACTAAGCCCACCATTTGGGAGGATTTAAGGACCTCTCCAATACTGCCCCACCCCTTTCCCCCTGTTTTTATAAACCAGTATGAAGTTCACCCAACTGGTCCTATTTCTTGTAGCAATCTGAACGAAGAGATTATTTGCATACCTTCTGCGAGATTGCAATTAGGGGAAATTAATTAATCTCTGGGATGGCAGAATTAGACAGAATTATTAGACATCTATGAATTTCTATGAAATGTTGGCGCCAAGGTTCTGGGCAAGGGGAACCCAATCGCAGAAAATAAGGAAGATTGCTTATTATTTGCTTTCCTTTGTGTTTGCGGAGTAGGAAAAAAACCCCGTTGTAAAATTAAATTGAAATGACACTTCTGTATTTAGAAGTGTCCGTGGAAACAGATTCCCGGGGTCAAGAGTTAAAGAGAGCTGCTGCTCTTAGAAATTTCTTAGCCTTCAAGCAAGCAGAAAAGCCAGATCTGAATTTTTCACAACTTACCATCTTGGGGCACCGCCTGCGGGAAGTAATTCACCGGTTTATCTACAAAACAAAAGGGGAGAGAGAAAAAATGAAGACATAAATATCAGAAAACATTTGTAACCCCCGAACTGTGTTTTTCCTCCCTCTTGTTTACAAAGAACTGAGAATTATAAACGATAAGCCCTTCGTACAATTGGCCTCTGAAGACCTCGGAGTGAGTTTTGAGAACTGCTCGACGTAAACTCTTCACTTCTCCCCAAGTGAGGCTGCCTGTTGCTTCCCTGGATGAGTAACTCTTCTGGGTCGACCCGGCTTCCCAAACTGTTCGTTTGGGGCAGGTAGACAATAGCCTAGGATGAAATTACAACAGATGTTCATCCTGAGGTGCGTTTAGAGAATTATATTCCCTCTTTCCTGCCCAGGAAAAGGCGGCCTGGAATTAACGCCTTCCCAGAAGGAAGGACACCCAAGAACAGGAATTCATACAGAGACACGCACACATGCCTCTAGAATCAGATTATGATTATGATTATGATTATGATTATTATTATTCATTGCACAGCTGTTCTGACTGGGGTTTGGCATTTTTGTCTACCTATCGAGACCTTACCAAGGACCTGGGATAGGCAAATCTGGCTGTTTGATGGTGTTACGGCTCTCGCCGCAGGATGGAAGCTGTTCCAAGCAAAGCTGCCTTCTGTAATTGACCGACGGCGAATGTGTCAATGCCACTGATGGTGTTCCAGTGGCGCTCCAGTTGTTTCTGGATTGCACCCTATTATTATTATTATTATTATTATTATTATTATTATTATTATTAATTATTTACACTGCCAGCCAGATGTTCAGACTGGGGTTTGGCATTTTTGTCTACCTATCGAGTCCTATAGTTTGCTATTTAGTTGTTCTATTTCTATTATTATTATTTCTTTGATATGAACGTCTTGTCAATTGTCCAGTCAAAGGAGACACATGGATTTCAGGTTAGTTAATAAAATACATCTTTTCCTGCACAAGCAGAGGTCAGGGACCCCGGCCGGCAGCTGCTGGGATCAAGTCAATTCATTAAGCTCCTCTCTGACCCCAGCTGCACCCGGCAAATCAAACCATTTAATAGCTAGCGCCCCTCCCAGGGTAGTGATCCATCAAACCCGGTTTTGCAGATTGGCAAACCGGGTTCCGACGGAGACGGCTTTCATTCAGTCAGCGACCCAGGGTGCAACACGAAAGCCTTCAAAAAAAACCAAAGGTAAAGAGATGCACAAGAGTCCGCGGAAGTTGGGCAAGCTAACAAGCTGAAATAAATAAATCACGGTCAAAACTAAGGCAAGCAAAACCTGAATCCCCTTTCAGACATGCAAGAGAACCCAGTTCTTCTCCTCTTACATTTATCTAATACGATGTGAAATAACAACCCAGTGACTTGGGCAGCCAATGGTATGAATGGTGGAGAAAGCACCATTCTGACCAGGTGGTATTCAGCAGGTTCTGACCAGTTCTGGGGAACCGGTAGCGGAAATTTTGAGTAGTTCAGAGAACCAGCCAATCCCACCTCTGACTGGCCCCGCCAACCCCATATCTCTTCTCTGCCTCCGATCGAGTCCCAGCTGATCGGCTGGGTCTTCCTTGGGTTGCCCTGCCCAGGAGAACGGAGCTGGAAAGCAGGTTAGTGAGGTGGGGAGGGAATGGCGGATTTTGCAGCGTTCTTCCCCTGCCACGCCCACCAAGCCACACCCACCACACCAAGCCACGCCCACAGAACCGGTAGTAACAAACTTTGAATCCCACTACTGATTCCGACCAACCTTGAAGGATCACCCCAGTCCCTGAATGGGAGGCTACTGGGGCCACGAGTGGAAAACTGGGAAGCTGAGAAGCAAACAAACAGGGAGGCGGCAGCAAATCCCTTTGACGGTTGGCGAGAAAACCCAACTTGACGCAGCCAAGAAAACTATCCGGAGTCTGGTTTGGCTCCAAGGAGGTTTGATCTTTTTCCTTGCGATGGTTCTAAGTGATTCCCCCCCCTCACAACGAAGCCCCTAAAGTTGGGGTGGAGGAGCCGGACAACCCCACGTAGACAGGATCTAAAACCTGGCCAATGAATTTAGCGGTTTGGATATACGTAACGGTTGGGGATCGGAGCAGGGGTGGGGTGTGGCGAGACGACGTTTGGAGCGGAAGGACCAACAATATATTTTTTTTCACGGCTTTGCTTCCAAGGTGGCCCACACAGAAGCCTCGCCCAAGTCAAGTCAGCTGGCCCAAAGTTGCTGTGGCTGCCATTAGCATATCCATGCGTTTACAACGCATGGATCGTATTGTAACATACAACCATTAAGCATATCCATGCATTTGTTCTATATTTTGTCTATTTTCTCCTTTGCGGTAGCTGCACGCTGCGGGATCCCTTGATTCGGGAGATCTCGGCTAGATCCGCCCCCGGCCCCAGTCCTAGAATTTGCAAAGCTCCAACAGGAAAAGGAGAGTGTGCCTTCCCCCCCTCCTCTTCCTTTTCGGTCCCTTCCAACGGCTCCTGTTTTCGGAGCAAACGGACGCTTCCGTTACAAGGGGCAATTCAGCAGGAAGGCTGAACTACATGTTACTCACGAGCCCGGCTCCCACCGAGAGAGAAAGCTCGGATCCAGAGGTGTTTTGTTTCTCGTTTACCCAAAATTATTTTTGGAGGCGTGACTAAGAAGGAAGGCCTCCCCCCCCCATGCGCTGTTTTTTTATGGCTCCACGTTGTCTCGGCCGCCCACCTTGGTTGCTACACACACGTAACCAGAGGTTTTTTTGGGGGAACCTTGGCAAGTCCTGAGCAACAAGTGTGGAAGACTCTGTCGATTGGGGTGGGGGCATCCTTACAAGGAACTAGGTGATGGTGGAGGAGTTTGGAGTCTCACAGGACTCTTAGTCGACTCTTTAGACGGTCCTGCAAGACACGGCCTTGGCCCAGGCCTGCTTCCAAGCATGCAGGCAACGAAAGATGCTCCCTGGCTTTTGTTTTGAGCTGGCCACTTAGATGCCCCGTTGGGAGCCCCCCCCGCCAGCCCGCAAAACAGTATACTGCCACTGCATAGGGAGGCTTTGTTTCTAGCGGAGACTGCCTGTGGATTTCCGCCAATGATTCAGCCTGCTCAAAAAAATGGCTCAGCCAAATGGCTCAGAGATGCTAAAAGTGGACCACAGCAGGGGGGAGGAAGGGAGAGAG